ATGGTGTATGATCTGTTTGATGTGTTGTTGAATTTGGTTTGCCAGTATTTTATTGAGAATTTTTGTGTCTAAGTTCATTAAAGAGATTGACCTATAATTCTCTTTTTTTGTTGTATTCTTGTCTGGTTTTTGGATGATTGTAACACTGGCAGGGTTGTCACAGGAATTTACTTGGCTTTCTAGGTGTCTGGAATGAGGCACAGGGAGCACTCTTGGTGGCTTCCACGGCATGGAAGGTTAGGAGGTGATGCTGTGGCAAGAACGTGGGCTCCAGGTTTCCACTACCCTGGAGCTGAGTCACAGCTCCGCTGCTGCCTGGCTGTCACTCCATAGTCTTGGTCTGCTCTCCTCCCATTCTGAGCCTGCTTTCTCATAGGTAAAATGGACATAACATCACAGTGTGTTCATGTGAATGGAATAAACCTTCCCCAACTTTGCATTGTCAGCATGCAAAGGAGCACAAATGTTATGGAGAAGGTGTGGGGTAGGGACTCACAAGTGCGGGCAGACCTGGTGGCTGTGCAATGCACTCTTGGATTCAGATGACCTCAGTACAGTCAATATTGCAGTAAAGTGAGTCACATGATGTTTTTGGTTTGTCAGTGCATCTAAAAGTCATGTTTACACAATACTGTAATCTATTAAGTGTGAATAGCATTATGTCTAGAGCAATGTACATATGTTAATTAAAACATTTTTTTTTGAGATAGGGTTTTCCTATGAAGCCTAGGCTGGCCTTGAACTCATGAGCTTCCTGCCTCAGTCTCCCAAGTTCTGGGATTACAGGCATGCACCACCATGCCCAGCTTAAAACATACTTTATTGCTAAAAAATGCTTACAGTCATTTGGGATTTCAGTGAGCTGTAATCTGGCTGGTGGAGTGTCTTGACTGGATGTTGAAAGTTGCTGACTGATCAAGCTGGTGGTTCCGGAAACTTGGGGTAGCTGTGGCAATTTCTTCTTCTCTTTTTTTTTGGTGGGTCTGGGGTTTGAATTTAGGGTTTCCCACTTGCAAAGTAGGCACTTTACCACTTGAACCACATCTCCAGTCCATTTTGCTCTGGTTAGTTTGGAGATGGAGTCTCATGAATTATTTACCAGGGGCTGGCTTTGAGCCTCTGTAGTCCCAATTTCAGCCTCCCTAGTAGCTAGGATTACAGGAGTGAGCCACTGATGCCCAGCAGCAATTTCTTTTTTTTTTTTTCGATTTATCTATTTTTTTCTTTTATTATTCATATGTGCATACAAGGCTTGGGTCATTTCTCCCACCTGCCCCCACCCCCTCTCTTACCACCCACTCCGCCCCCTCCTTCTCCCCTCCACCCCCTTAATACCCAGCAGAAACTATTTTGCCCTTATTTCTAATTTTGTTGTAGAGAGAGTATAAGCTTTAATAGGAAGGAACAAGGGTTTTTGCTGGTTGAGATAAGGATAGCTATACAGGGCATTGACTCACATTGATTTCCTGTGCGTGTGCGTTACCTTCTAGGTTAATTCTTTTTAATCTAACCTTTTCTCTAGTTCCTGGTCCTCTTTTCCTATTGGCCTCAGTTGCTTTTAAGGTATCTGCTTTAGTTTCTCTGCGTTAAGGGCAACAAATGCTAGCTAGTTTTTTAGGTGTTTTACCTATCCTCATCCCTCCCTTGTGTGCTCTTGCTTTTATCATGTGCTCAAAGTCCAGTCCCATTGTTGTGTTTGCCCTTGATCTAATGTCCACATATGAGGGAGAACATACGATTTTTGGTCTTTTGAGCCAGGCTAACCTCACTCAGAATGATGTTCTCCAATTCCATCCATTTACCTGCAGATGATAACATTTCGTTCTTCTTCATGGCCAGCAGCAATTTCTTAAAAGAACACAACAGCAAAAATTGCTGCCCCTACTGACTGTCTGTCATGAAAGATTGCTCTGTAACTTTTGATGCTGCTTGATAGTTTTTAGGTGGATGGTGCTGGGGATGGAACCCAGGCGCTCCCAGGTGCTTGGCAAGCACTCACCACTGAGCCACCCCCCTGACTTCTGTGATAGCTTTTTACTCACATTTTTAAAAATCAGAATTAGAATCAATCCTTTCAAAAAAGCTTCTGCTTTATCAACCAAAGTTATAGAGGGAGAGAGAGGGGAATGGGTGGTTGGTGGGTTATTATTACTCATATACACCTTTTTCTTCTTCTTTTTTTGTTATACTGGAGTTTGAACTCAGGATCTTGCACTTGCTAGGTAGGTGGTCTACCACTTGAGCCACTCCCTCAGTGTTTTTTTTTTTTTTTTTGCTTTAGTTTTGTTTTCACAGTCTAGAGTGCTAACCATTGCACCATGGAACTTCCTTTAGCTTTGTCTTCAGATAGGGTCTGTGCTTTTGCCCAGGGTGGATCTCAGACTGGAATCCTCTTACCTCTGCCTCCCACATAGCTAGGACCACAGGTGTGGACCACCACACCCAGCTTGGTTTTTTCGAGATAAGATCTTGATAACTTTTTGCCTAGACAGGCCTCAAATCATGGTTTTCCTTCCTCTGCCTCCTGTGTAGCTAGGATTATAGACATGTACCACCACACTTGGCTTATATTTGCTATCTTATATGGGCACTTCCAAACAGACTACAGTAATCACATGACAGAGTGTGATCATCCATCACAGTACCAAATATGGTAGTAATGAAAAAAGTGGAAGTATACAGAATGTGATGCACACACAGTACCTTTGCTGGGAAATGTGTCAGTAAACGTGTTCCTCAATCCCCCAATTTGCAGAGAAGCAGTGTCTGTGAAACAGGATATGTGAACTATCTGCTCATGGGAGCACCTGGAGAGACTATTGACAATGCTCATTCCTAGGCACCACCGCTTGCCACCCACTTGCCATCTGTGTGCCAAGGGCTAATGTATGGCAGGCTCATTGCAAATGGTGGACCTCCATTGGGGTGGAACAGTGGCTCTGCCTTCCTCAGTTGAGAGAGGTGGAGAATAAGTGAAAGAAATGAAGTGTAGAAGGGGGTGTAGAAGATGCCAGCTCACGACGGTGTGATTCTGAGTAGAGCAGTCAGAGAGGGTCTCATGGGGAAGGGGACCTTTGATCAAAGACCTGCAGAAGGCAGCAATGGGCCTTGTGGGATTCGTTTTCTCTGGCTGCCAGAGAAAAGCACCACAGGCAGTATGAGTCAGCTTCCCATCACTGTGACAAAATGCCTGAGATAAGCAACTTCTAAAGAGGAAAGATTTCTTTGGGGTCATGGCTTCAGCAGTTTCTGTCCACTGTTGCTTGGCTCTGATGCTTTGGACCCATGGCAAGGCAGCACATCATGGTGGAGCAAAGCTGCAGAGAGGTGGGGCTCTTTGAGGGCACACTTCTAATGACCTAACTTCCTCCTACTAGGCTCCACCTCTTAAAGGTCCCACCACCTCCTAATAGTGCCATAGGCAGAAGACTAAGCCTTTAGCAGATGGGTGTCTGGGGGACTTTTAAGTTCCAAACCATAACAGGCATGGAGGCTTAAATAAGAGAAATTTAGTTTTTCACAATAAAAGCCCAGTCCCCCTCCTGCCTCCCCTCCTCTCCTTATACCCCTCACCCTCTGTGCTCCAGATACAAGACTTCCTTGCTATTCCTCCAATAAGTTTGGCTCAGTCCTGCTCCCGGGCCTTTGCACTGGCTGTTTGCTCTTCTTGGGATACATTTCCCTGTGGTTCAATTGTGTCCCTCTGAAGTGCACAATTCCTAGTGATTTTGAATATATTTGGAGAAAAGGCCTTTACAAGGTTAATCAAGTTAAAATGAGGTCGTTAGAGTGGGCCCTAATCCAATATGATAGGTGTCCTTAGACTAGGAGGAGACTAGGACACTGGCAGAGGGATGATTGTGTGAAGACACAGGGAAGAGGTAGACATCTTCAAACCAAGAAGAGAGGTCCTAGGAGAAACCAGTCTAGTCAACACCTTGATCTTGGATGTTAGCCTTCAGAATGGTTCTGAGCGTGTCACATAGATGAATGGACTCATACAGCGGTGGTCTTCATTGACTGCCTTCTTTTACCAAGCGTATTTTCAAAGTTCACCCATGCAGTAGACTACACTTTTTATGGTTGGGTAATATTCCATTGCATATATTTGCCTATTTGGAATATTTCTTCCTACTAGGCCACATAGCATATGGCTTTGGAAGATGTATTTCAGCCAGCATTCCTGATGAAAACACTCAAGAAGTCTTAGTTCTCACTGACTCATGGGGTGTGCTGGGTGCTGTGGGAAAGGCCAAGTTCATAGGCTGGGGGTGGGTGGGAGGTTGGTTAGAATTCTTTAGCATTCTTACAAACCTCAGAGAGAGAGCTGAGCCCACTAAAATATTAAATGAGCCAATATTGGGCAAATGTAATAACAGGAGAACTTGCCTTTTTTTTTTTTTTGCAGTACTGGGGTTAAACTCAGGGCCTCACACTTATTAGGAGTGTTTGAGCTACTCACTCCATCAGCTCTGAAAACTCATCTTTAAATCAGAGCCAGACACCCCAAAGCTAAAATGATAACATGTGTCACAACTGCTGCATTAGTCAATATATTTTGGTTGTGAGACACAGCAACCCAACTCAAACTGGCTTAAACAAGACAGAGAATGTGTTGTTCAGGAAACAGAAGTTCAGGAATAGCTCATGCAGATGGTACTGTTCCTTTATGGCTGGCGTCTTTTCACGTACAAGGCTGGTTTCAGGGTTTATCCATGTTGTGACATGTCAATACTTCATTCCTTTTTTATGGCAAAATAGTCTTCCATCACACAAACACCACATTTTGTTTATCCATTAGTGATTAATTTTATGTTTTGTAAATTTTATATTGGTAGAGAAATAGGGATAGATCTAGCTTCACTCTTTCTAAGAAAAGAGTGTGATTTTTGTGGGGGACCTGCACCTTCATTTCTTCCTGTGTCAGTCAGGCATCCCGTCATCAATTTCTCCCCTGCTGCTCATTCCCCACCCCCCAACCATCATTTCTTTCCCCATAGTTCTTGTGCCTTAAGAATATTCGAACCTTCCTGTCTACCTGCTGTGAGAAGTTTGGCCTCAAGCGGAGCGAGCTCTTCGAGGCCTTTGACCTCTTCGATGTGCAGGATTTTGGAAAGGTGAGCTGGAGCCCAAGGATTGGATTTCAGTTCATTTCATTAACGTCTTTTGGGGAGATAGGATGAGGCAGACCAGGCCACACAGAAGGTACAAGTAGCACTGGCTGGGGACACGTGGAGCCTGGTGCAAGTTCCTATTCTAGTACTTGCTGTGTGACCTTGAATGTGGCCATACCTCTCTGATCCCCAGGTCCCTTATCTGTAGCATGGGCATGACATCATTCTGCCTTGTTTGAGTGGCTCTGAGGATTGAACAGGATGATAGGACAAGCGTGGAGGCTTATTTAAGGGAGTAGTGACATGGGAGACGGGAAGGTGGAGAAAACCCTGAATTGGGCTCAGGAGAGGCCTGGGGTCCAGCTTCCAGGTCTAGTCTCGGGTACTTGGGAGTCCGAGGCTGTGCTCTGGCACAGGTGTGGACAGAGGAGCTCTGAGCAGCCATGACTCTTCTCACAGGTTATCTACACCCTGTCCGCTCTGTCCTGGACCCCAATTGCCCAGAACAAAGGGATCATGTGAGTAAGCGTATGGGGTAGGTGATCAGCCTCAATCCTCTGCTCTGTGAAACCCAATGCTGGGCCCCCACACCCCCGCCTTACACCATCCTCCCCCACCAGGCCCTTCCCCACCGAGGAGGATGCTGTGGGGGACGAAGACATCTATAGTGGCCTGTCTGACCAGATCGAGTGAGTATCGCGCCTCATGAGCAGAGCTCACTGGAGCACCCATTCACGGTCCTGCTCTGAGCTATGAGGGACATGCCTCTACCTTGGAACCTGAAGGACATGGTCCTGCTCTAGGGGACTGGGAACATGGTCCTGCCTTGGGGTCTGAGGAACACGACCCTGCCCTTGGATATGAGAGACTTGGCCCTGATCTGAGACCATGGCCTTGCCTTGAGGTGTGAGGGACATGGCCTGGCCCTGGCATATGGGGGTCATAGTCTTGAACTGAGGGGGAGGTGTGGTGTCCAAGTGACACAGCTTTGACGTAGAGGGGTTTGAGGGGTCCCTGGCCTGGGGGGCGCTGGTGGCCCTGCCTGACTCCGTATCCCACAGCGACACGGCCGAGGAGGACGAGGACCTGTACGACTGCGTGGAGAACGAGGAGGCCGAGGGCGACGAGATCTACGAAGACCTGATGCGCTCAGAGCCTGCGCCCACGCCGGTGAGGGGTGGACCAGGCCTGGGCGGGCGCGGGGCTGGGGTTAACGCTGGGCGAGACACCAGAGTCTCCTCTTGTCCACAGCCCAAGATGACTGAGTATGACAAGCGCTGCTGCTGCTTGCGCGAGATCCAGCAGACGGAGGACAAATACACCGACACGCTGGGCTCCATCCAGCAGGTGCGGCAAGACAGCGCCTGCCTGCTGTGCGCATGCGCGAGGGCTGGCTAGGCGGGCGTGAAGCCACTGTGGGGCTGCGCCGTGCGCATGCGCAGGCCCTGGGAGAGCGAATGTGCGGTGGTTGGGGGTGGGGAGGAAGGAGGAGGGAGGAGGGAGGGAAGTGGCCGAGACTGCGCACCGAAGCTGAGCTGTGCGCATGCGCGTTTGCTGGGCGGGCAGTGGGCGCCACCTGAAGGGCATTCTGGGGCACGTGGAGGATGTTTGCTGCCTCTGCTGCTTTGTGTTTGTGTCTCTGTCTCTGGCGCTCTTCCTTTGCCCTATGACTTTTCTCTGTGTCCTCCTCCTGTTTCTTTGTCTCTGTTTGCCTTTTCTCCATCTCTTTTTAGAATAAAACATTTTATTTAGACTCAAACTATACAAAATTGAATTTCTTCACCAAAAATAATAGCAATTTTTTATGAATTATTTCTAGACAAACCACAAAACATTTATTTGTGTAGGTTTTGCTAATAAATCAAGAGAAAGGGGTAGATTTAATTATGGGAAAAAACAAGAAAACAGAGAAGTCAGTTGCCTTTGTGGATGGCCTCTGGTTCTTCTGGACCGACATTTATCTGCCATAAAAGTTATGAAAATGTAGGCTCAACAAAGGACTGAACAACAACCAAATGTTTCCATCCCTTTTTAAAACAGCTATATGGAGATTTAATTAATGTGCCATATAATCCTCCATGTAAAGTATATAATTCACTGGGTTTTGGTACATGCATAGTGTAGTGCAACCATTACCACTGTCTAATTTTAGAACATCTCCATTCTCAAAAGGAACCTCACACCTTTTACCTGTCATCCCTCAATCTTCCATCCTTCCCCAGCTCTGGCCCCCAGGAGTCCACCTCCTGTCTCTGGATTCCCCTGTTCTGGATGTTTCCTAGCAACAGAGTCACACACTGTGGGGCCTTTTGTGTCTGTGTCTCTCACTGAGCATGATGTCTGCAAGGTCCATCTGCATTGCAGCTTGGGTTAGAGTCTCGTCCTGTTCATGGCTTTGTTTATCCACTCACCCATTGTTAGGTGTTTGTATTGTTTGTACTTTGGGGCTCTTACGAATAATTTTGCAGTGAACATTTGTGTACAGGGTTTTGTGTGGACAGTCTCCATTTTCTTTTACCTCTCTATTTTTCTCAGGTTTGTTTCCTTCTCTTGATGTTTCTCTTTCCCCCCTTCTGTCTCTGTCTGCTTGTCCCTGTCTTTCCGGGACTAAGCTGGATGGCAGGGACTCATCTTCCCTTCCACCCTTCTCCTGCCCCCGCATAGCACTTCATGAAGCCTCTACAACGCTTCCTCAAACCTCAGGACATTGAGATCATCTTTGTCAACATCGAGGTGAGCCAGCTGGCCGCCAGCACTCTGGATGTTGTCCAGTGGGGATATCTGCTGCCATTACTTGCCCTTTGAATGTGAGGCTTAGAATTCAGTAACAGGACAGCTGATGGCTTTGAGCCTGGGGATCCTGCCCAACCCTCACCCCTCTCTCTCTGTGAGTAGGAACTGCTTCGTGTGCACACCCACTTCCTAAAGGAGATGAATGAGGCCCTGGCGGCCCCTGGAGCACCTGCCTTGTACCAGGTCTTCATCAAATACAAGGAGAGGTGAGACCCAGCTGGCCAGTAAAAGCTCTGGGCATCCCTGGTGTGTTTGGGAGACCTAACCCTCAGAGATTGCTGGTTTTCAGTGTGTGCTAGTGGGCAGCGGTCTTCCTTCTCTTGTTCAATTTCTATCTTTGCTATGTGGCACCAGGAAGTCATTTGATCTCCCCGTGCATCTGCTTCCTCATCTGTAGGAGTTTTATAGGGTTGTGGTGACAGTTGAATAAATTTGAAGTGTAAAGTGCTTAGCACAGGGCTTGGCACACAGTAGGTGCTTAATAAGTATGTGTTAAATAAATGAACATTGGGCAGAGACTGTAAGCTGGGCACTGTGGTAATAACCTCTTAAGCAACATCATATTTAATGTTCCATTAGCCTCAGGTGGGAGATGCCATTGTTAGGGCCATTTTAAGATAAGGAGACTGAAGCTTGGGGTCACCCAGATGGGGAGAATGAGGCCAGGACTGATGTCTAGATTCACCTGACTTTATGGCCACCCTTCCCTGGTGGCCTGTCCTCTCCCTATAGATTCCTTGTCTATGGCCGCTACTGTAGCCAAGTGGAGTCTGCCAGCAAGCACCTGGAGCAAGTGGCGGCCGCCCGGGAGGATGTGCAGATGAAGCTGGAGGTGGGGACTGGGCCAACTCTGGGGGGTTCTCCCCCTCCTTCCAGACTGTGGGGGCTGCTGGAGCTGGAGATGGCTCCACTTTCCCCGAGGGAGTGAGGTGCTGGCCAGCTGAGTGGAGAAAGTGGAACACTGAGCTCCAGCCCCAGCTGAGCCCTGGCTCTGGGCTGACCCCCAACCTTGGATGCAAGTCCTGACCCTGATCCCAACTCTGACCCTAAGTGGAGTTCCAGCCCCAGGCTAACCCCAGTCACCGTGCCTCAGATGTGGACTGGGCTGACCTTCACACTGGGCCCCTGACTGAGTAGAAACATGGGTGGGGTAGGGATGATGAAGTTGGGACTGTCCAGACATGGTCCTTTCTCCCAACTGGCCTCCACCCCAGGCAGTACTGGTCAGACTTTCAGTGGTTCTTCTTCCCCTTATCCCTCCCCCTCCTTTTCTTCTTTTTTAAAGACCTTCTCTCACTCTGCAGCCCTGGTTGGCCTCAAACTCCAATTTCCTGCCTCTCGGAATCCTGCCGGGATTATGGGCATGTACTGCCATACCCATCCAGCCCAATGGATCTTAAATTGCCCCTTGCCCCACGTTATCCTTCCTTCCTTAATTCCTCATGGGGTGATACGATGCTTTGGGCTCTAGAAAAATGCACATGGCTTTGGGATGGAGAGCTGCCTACACATTTATTCAAATCTGTGCCCCTTCTCTGCTACCTGCCCATCTTAGTCACCTGCCTCCACCTGATTTCCACACACCATTGTTTTCTGGTCTTCTAGGAATGTTCTCAGAGAGCAAACAATGGCAGGTTCACCTTGAGGGATCTGCTGATGGTGCCCATGCAGAGAGTGCTCAAGTATCACCTCCTCCTCCAGGTGCGGCACAACTGGGGTCCTCGGGTATGGGCTTGGTGTATCTACCTGCGTTGTACCGTTAATAAGGTTGGGTGAGGCTGGCTCTAGGGACCTCTGGGATGCCAACATTCAGGTCTTGTCCTGGCCTCTATGGACAGCAAAATGAAGGAGGGCCTGATGGGCTGGCATTGTTTGCCGGGAGGAGGGGGTAGGCCAGGTGATGTCTGCCTCGGTGCTTCTCTCAGGAGTTGGTGAAGCACACGCAGGACCCGGTGGAGAAAGAGAACCTGCGGCTGGCCCTAGATGCCATGAGGGTGAGTGGACTGAGGGGATGGGCTTGTTGTGCAAATGCTATGAACACCTTCTCCTGGTGGGAGCTGAACCTCTATCCTAGGCCAGGTGTGTGTGTAAGGGAGCCAGCCTTACCCTTGCCCCACCCCCAGGACCTGGCGCAGTGCGTGAACGAGGTCAAGAGGGACAACGAGACGTTGCGACAGATCACCAACTTCCAGCTGTCCATAGAGAACCTGGTGAGGGGCTGGAGCCAAGCCAGAAGGGCCAGGGGTGTGGTCTCGTGGGGGAGGAGTCTGGTCCCTTTCTTGGTAGTCCTGTGTCAGACCCCCTGCCTGCTGCATAGGACCAGTCTCTAGCCAATTATGGCCGACCCAAGATTGATGGGGAGCTCAAGATCACATCGGTGGAAAGGCGCTCCAAGACGGACAGGTGGGCCGAGCCAATTGGATCTGGTGCACAGCCTGGGGGGGAGCTCGGGGCAAGGTCAGGCGTTTACATAGGCATTGTGGGAGGAGCCACCATGGATGTGGCGTGGAGCCTGGGCAGCAGTGGAACTCAGCAGCTAGTAGGCAAGTGGGCGGAGCCAACATAGATTGGAGGAGGAGCCTGTGTGAAGCCAGGTTCTTAGGCAGGTGGGCGGAGCCTACTAAGATCTGGGGTAGAGCCTGGCAGGGCGGGGCCAGGCTCCTACGTAGACAAGTAGGTGGAACTAGGTTTTTAGATAGACTTGGCGGAATCTTCATGGATTTGGGAGAAGGGGGATGGGTTAGGTTCTGACTTCTAGATAGAAAGGTGGATGGAGCCTGCATAGATGTGTAGGTGGATCCAAGGCGCTGCCAACTTGGATCCCTGTGGGTGCGGTCGGGATGAACAGGAAGGTTGGGAGGAGCCAGACCCTGGCACCTGACCCCGAGGCTTGCAGGTACGCCTTCCTGCTGGACAAAGCCTTGCTCATCTGTAAGCGCCGGGGGGACTCCTACGACCTCAAGGTCTCTGTGAACCTGCACACCTTCCAGGTTCGGGATGACTCCTCGGGAGAGCGAGACAACAAGAAGGTGGGGCTCAGCACTAGCACTAGGAACCCGGCTTGGGGCTGTCCACTTGGCCTTGGGAATGCCCGTGTGTGCACGTGTGTGCGAGAGTGCATAGAAATGAATGGTCATTAATCACTCAGCAGTTTTAAACTGAGCACCTGGCCATTCTTCTTGACATTAGGATTAAGACTGAAAATAAAACAGGCATGGTCTGCTCTCCTATGGTACTTACGTCCTTGAACGTAATTTTATTACGTTAGTATTACGTTTTTATTACGTTTCTACAAAGAAAATAACATGGGGGTAGTGTGGGAGAGGGCCTGTTGTACAGGACTCCATTGGTCAGGCGTTCTCTGTGACATTGGAGCTGTGACATTTTGACTTTTTTTCACTTTTTCTCACTTCTTTCTCCTTTGAACGTCTCCCCTTCTCTGTAGCTCTCCTCGTACGTGTCCCGTCTGCCTTGTGCTGCTGTGTCTCCATTTCTTAGCTTCCTGGAGATGTGGAGGTTGCTCTCTTGTAATTGATTGTTAGTGGTTTGTCTCTGCCACTAGACTGGAACTCTAGGACAAGGTCCTGGTCACTGCTTTGTCTCCAACTTCTTGCATGGGGTCTGTCTTCCAGCAGGCATCCAGAAAATGCTTGAAGAATAAATGAATGAATAAGAGATACAGTGTGTTGGGTGTGTGTTTCTGCAAAGGCTGTGTGTATGTGTGGTGTGTCTTCTGCATTTGGAGATGTGTGTTCGAATGTTGTAGGCGGCCATTCATAAGTGCATCCATGGATGGTGCCAGGGGCACGAGACTGTTACTGCCCTGGTCCTGTGCTCCCTACAGGAGCAGGGGTCTCTGGATGGGGTCCTGCTCTCTGCAGGGGATGGGTGCCTTCAGTCTGAGCTCTGCTTCCCTGCAGTGGAGCCACATGTTCCTCCTGATCGAGGATCAAGGTGCCCAGGGCTATGAACTGTTCTTCAAGACACGGGAGCTGAAGAAGAAGTGGTTGGAGCAGTTTGAGATGGCCATGTGAGTCCCCCTTCCTCCCTCTTTCTGTCCTCAGAGGACTCCACCACGTGGGGGCTGTGACAGGGAGCAGTGCTGTGCTCTAGTCACTGCTGGGCCCTGATATGCCATGGGACCACTCTGAACTTCAGTTTTCTTATCTGGGAAATGGGAGGCACAGGCTGCAGGCTGTCTGCGACCTCAGAAGGCCAAGGTTCTGTGCAAGCTTTGGACACCAGCCTGGAATTTTCTTTTCCTCCTTACTTCTCCTCCTTTAAAAAAATTTTTTTTTTGTGGTACTGGGGTTTGAACTCAGGGCCTCATTCCTCAGCTCATTTTTATTTTTAAGTTATTTTTCAGGTAGGGTCTTGTGTTTTTGTCTAGGCTAGCCTGGCCTATGACCCTCCTGCTTACCACTCCTGTGTAGCTGGGATGACAGGTGCACATCACTGTGCCCAGTTTATTTGTTTAGATGGGGGCTTGCTAACATTTGCCTGGCGGTCCTCAAGCCACCATCCTCCTGAACTCTGCTTCCTCAGTAGCAGCCTCCTCCTCTTTATGTTCTCCTCCTCTCTCTCCCTTTCCTCCCTCTTCTTTTCCTCTCCTCTGTTTCCCCTTTCTTCTCCTCTTCCTTGTCCTCCATCTTTCCTTTCTTTCCTCTTCTAATATTTTCCTTCCCCTTGTCTTCCTCTACCTCCTTCTTCTCTTCTTCCACCTTTTTGTCCTCTTCCTCCTTTTCTTCCTCTTCTCCCGCTTCCTTCCATACCTGCTCCTCCTCCTCTTCCTATTCAGGTGAAATCCGCACAACAAAAGCAAGCCATTTCATTTCATAGTGTAAGATTCCATACCATTTGATACACTCACAGCATTGTGCGACCATCTCCTCTTAGCTCCAAACCCTTTTCGTCACCCCCAAAGATGACCCCACACTATTAAGCCCTCACTCCCTCTCCCTCTTCCTCCCAGCCCTTGCAAGTACCCATCTTCCTCCTCTCTCTGCCGATGTTCACAGAGCTCTGTCCACAAGAGCCAGGAAGTGGAGACCATCCGAGTGCCTGTGCGTGGATGCATGGACAAACACACATTTGTTTTGCTCAACTGTGGATCTGCCACACCATATGTGGTCCTCGTTGCTTTCATTTTTCTCTCTGTAGCTCCAACATCTACCCTGAGAACGCCACTGCCAATGGGCATGACTTCCAGATGTTCTCCTTTGAAGAGACTACTTCCTGCAAAGCCTGCCAGATGCTGCTCAGGTGAATCTGGGTTTGGGTGGGGCATCTAAGCCCTGAGCTTGGGCGGCCCATCCTCTTTAGGTGGACATCCCTGCTTGGGGACACAAGTTGATGGCGAGTGTGCTGGTCCAGCCCACTGATTCCGCTTCATCATCCTGTATTCCAGAGGCACCTTCTATCAGGGCTACCGCTGCCACCGGTGCCGGGCACCTGCACACAAGGAGTGTCTGGGGCGGGTCCCCCCATGTGGCCGCCATGGGCAAGGTACCAGTGAGAGGGAACGGGGGATGTGGACTCACTTCTCTGTGGGGGATTTCTCATCTGGGCTATTTCCCTTCCCTTCCAAACAGATTTGGCAGGAACCATGAAGAAGGTAAGACTCCCACATGCTTCTTTCTGTGCATGGGAACTCACAAGTGATCATGCAGGGTGGACCAGAAGCAGCCTGTCCTGGTCAGGTCCTTCGCCAGGTGGGGACAGTGAGGGGGCTGAGGTGCACCCAGGCTGCAGGTATCCACACATACCTTCTCCGTCTCTCTTTCCAGGACAGGCCACATCGCAGGGCTCAGGACAAAAAAAGGAATGAGCTGGGTGAGTGAGCATTAACTCATTTTTGCTCAGACTCTGCACAGGGAGTGTGTGGAACCCATCAATAGTTAAGATCCTCGTTCTCCTCTTTCTCTCCGTCCATATTTGTTATTCTCCACTTCCTTCCCTGCTCTGTGGTCTGAGCTTGCTCTCCCATCGAGCCCCCTCCCCCATCCACTTTGTTTTTTGGCTGCACTAGAGTTTGAACTCGGGGCCTCATGCTTGCTGGCAGGTGTTTTACCACTGGAGCCACTTTGCCAATCTTTTATTCTTGCAGTGCTGGGGATGAACCCAGGGCCTCCCTGTGCTGGGCAGGTGCTCACCATTGAGCTGCACCCAGCCCCTTTCCTGTTGATTCTGTGTCGTGAAATACTGTAGGAGATGGGATTTCAGTTATGTGTCCTCCATCTGGAGGTCAGGGAAGGGGAAGACACAGTTTGAGCCATTCAGGGTTTTAAAAGACCCAATGGTGGCCATCATATGTTAATGATTTTTGAAGAATTGAAATAGTGATGGGGCTTTTACTCAGCATCTAGCTCAAGGTCACATGAAGACTAAAACTGTTGTGCTTGCCCTTCTAAGGTTCCCAGGCTGGTAGGGAGAGACACAGGTTGGTTTAAGTCGTTTTGATTGTGGTGGGAGAAATTGGGGAAATTGAGACATCTGAGCAGAGACATTTCAATGGGGACTTGAGGCATGAGTAGGAGTTTGCCAGTAAGGAGGAGATGAGACTGTTCTAGGTAGAGGGAGCAAAAGCTAGGAATCTGGAGGACAAGGCATTACTAAAGAACTAAGAACAGTTTAGTGCTGGGAAAACAAGGCCTTTGCTCGTAGTCACACCATCATTGTGAAAGCCCAAATTATATAAATTTTTTGTGTTACATATATAGCGTGTGTTAGATACTATACACGAGTGCATATTATACACATAGGTTAATATACAGTGCCAGTGCTTTGTATATATGGTATACATGCATGTATACAAGATAATGTGTACACATAGCATATGTTATATATGTATGCAAGGTAATGTACATTCATCTGAGTCTACATGTAATATATAAAACATACGTAGTTTAGTATTGGTGTATTATTTTCTGTTACATTTGTGTTATATATAACTATATGATAAAATTATAATACTATTTACAGATCATAGTTAATAATTTATGCTTAATATACCATACACATCAATATGTGATATTTATGTTAGCTTTTTTTGCAATAATCAAAAACTAGAAATGACCCAAATATCCTCAGTTCAGGAGGAGGAAAATATGTAAATAAGTGAATATTGACCCATGCATTGTTACTTAGCAGAAGTCGCAGTAGAAACAACCCTGTAAAGTACGGTAGTAGGAAACACTATATATGTGTGTGTATGTGTATATATGATTCTTTTTTGAGGGCAGTGCTGAGGGTTGAACTTGACCTCACACTTGCTAAGCAGGCACTTGCCAGCCCTTTTTGCATCGGCTGCTTTTGAGATAGGGTCTGGCTTTATGGCCTGGCCATCTTGGACTGCGATCTTTCTATTTGTGCTTCCCACGATAGCTGGGATGACAGGTGTGCTCCACCACATCCACCCATTGGAACTTTTTGCCTTTGCTGGCCTTGAGCCATGAGGCTCCCAAATAGGATTACCATTGTGAGTCATGGCACCTTGCCAGTATACATGTTTTTTTTTTTTTTGCGGTGCTAGGGATGGAACCCAGGGCCTCGCCCATGCTAAGCCAGCACTCACCTCTCAGCCACACTCCTAGTTCCAACAAATGCTTTTATTGAGTAAAAGATAATTCTGTTGCTCAGTGGATTTATATATGTAATTGACAACTAGATTAAAGCTTGGAACATTTCTATCACTCCAGAACTGGTTGCATTTCAGGTGTGCAGCAGTCTCCTGTGGCAGATGCCATGTCATATAGCACGCGTTAGATAATCTCAGAAAGTTCTATCAGACTCACCTGTCCCGCAGAGGGGACAGCTGTCTGACCCCTGCCATGTCGATTGGTTTTGCCTGCCTTTGAGCTTTCTACAAATGAAACCACACAGCATGTTTTGTTTGTGTCTGATTTCTTTTATTCAACATGCTAGTGAGGTTTATCGATGTGATTGTAGTTCTTTGTCATTGCTGCAGTGCATTCTGCTATGTGGCTGTATCACAATCTGTTTATCCATCCTATCAAGGGTGTCTCATTGTTGCCTGTTTTTGGCTATCACAAATAAAGCTGCTGTGGACATTCTTGCCTGTGACTTTCAGTAGGCTGGTTCTCACTTCTCTGGTGTATATACTTGAGTGAATTGCTGGATTCCAGAGTAGATATATTTTTCACTTCAGTGGATACTGCCCAAGAAGAGTTCTGGTTGTTCTGTGTCCTCACCAACACTTGATATTGTCAAGCTTTTGAATTTTAACCACTCTTGGTGGGTGGAGAGTCTCAGCTTTGAGTCTTTGACTGCTACCCACCTGTCCACCCCTTCCCTGTCCTCCAGGTCTGCCTAAGATGGAAGTGTTTCAGGAATACTATGGGCTTCCCCCACCCCCTGGAGCCTTTGGACCTTTTCTGCGGCTTAATCCAGGGGACATCGTGGAGCTGACCAAGGCTGAGGCTGAACAGAACTGGTGGGAGGTATGGGCTGTGGTTGTGGGAGTGATGGGTGGGATCCAAGTGTGGGGTCATAGGTGCAAATGACCATGGGGAGTGGGCCATAGTCCCTCAAGGCTCCAGAGGTGGGGGCCTGGGAAGTGGGGATGCAGATGGGGATTTCTGGGCTTGGTCCTTCTGAACTGGTTGTCCCTCTAGGAGGTTGATACTGGCTGGCTTCTCTGTGGACCATCCAACCCAGATGGACAAGAGGAGGGGCTGTTGGTCAGATAGGCAGACACATGGATGCCTGTAGACTCCGTGTTTTTGTCTCCTGGGCTTTTAGGGCAGGAATACAGCGACCAATGATGTTGGCTGGTTTCCCTGTAACAGAGTGAAGCCTTACGTCTATGTGAGTAAGGGTAAGGGGCTTGGGGGGGTGTCCTGGGAGGGTTTTGGGAGGGCAGGCAGACTTGGAGACACCCTGCGATGGGAGGGGGCTGCCCATCATGGCAGGCCATTCCTCAACTCAAGACTGATGACTGCCCACTGACCGTGGGGCGGGGCCACTCTGGGAACTATGATCACGGTGGTCCTTTTCCTCCCTGGTTCTTTTTGTATGAAGTGCCTCTCTTTCTTACGAGGCTGCATGGGAAAAGGTGGGGTCCAGAAGGTGGGCCAGTCCCCGGCTTCTTTCAGAGAGCTGAACTGAGGCCTGTAAGATGTTGTGCCCATGTTTCCTCCTTGCCCTGCTCCTGAAACTTCAAAGTAAATCTGCAGACTTCCTTCCCTTTTGCCCCTGAATACTTCCTAAGAGCAAGAACCTTCTTCTCTGTAACCATAGCATGATTTAAGTAAATTAGTCAGTGAACTTTTGTGGTGCTGGGGATGGACCCAGGACCTCCCATATGCCAGGCCAGCGCTTGCCACAGAGTGGCATCCACCCCATAGTGCGATCTTAAAGAATGTGAACCTCATTGTTGCCATTGTGTGTAATCCATAATCTGTGTTTAAGTTTTGCCTGTTTTTCCAAAAATGCTGCTTAGAGATTTTTTTTTTTGCCCTGTGATTTCTTCACTGACCAGTAAATTTCCAGCTTCATAGCTCCTTCCAACTTTTTTAGCTAGTCTCCTACTGTAAGAAAGGGCTGTTTTTTCCCCATCTGTCTGTCTGTCTATCTAGCCATCATCTATTTAATCTGTTATCCATTTATCTCTAATCTATCTATATATTTTTTTCTGTCTATATAGTCTGTCTGCCTACCAACCTACCTGTCATCCATCTACTATCTATAATCTAATCTTTATCTATCTATCTATCTATCTGCCTGTCTGTCATCAGTCTAATCTATTATGTATGTAGGTATCTATTTATCTTTCTGTCTATCGTCTGTCACCTACCTACATGAGTATTATCTATCTAATTTATTATGTATATGTGTATGTATGTCTGTGTTTTCTGTGTCCATCTGCACATCTATCTCTTATCTATCACCTACCCGTCTCTCTATTACCTCTTGCTTGACTATATATCATCTGTCTACCTATTTGCCATCCATTACTTTTTTGTCAGTCAGTCAATCACCTATTGGGAACAACTCGTGGATTCTTTTTATTTTAATCATTTTTACATTTACTTTCATGTGCGTACATTATTTGGACCACCTCTTCCCCATGGATTCTTATTTTAAGATTGTTCAGCGGAGCCTTCATGCTTTTTCTCTATCCTTCCGACATGTCCCCATCATTCTTTGAGCGTGTTCTTGTTTTCTGACACAATCCCAGCTCCTCTGGGTTCTGGTCCCTGCCCCAGTCTTGGGACAACCATTTCTCCTTGGTGCTCTGGTTCCTGCAGGGGACTTGGCACACAGAAAGCACATGTGGACGTCTCTCACTTTCTGTCGCCAAATGCGGCCATTGGTGGACCGCAGCCTTCCGTGGTACACTCGGTGATGTGAGAGAAGACATAGAAGGTGACCTTTCTCCTCCTGCCTGGCTCCGCGTCACAAGTCAGCTATGTGTTTATCTTCCCATGTGTCCTTCTGGAATTTCATAGTGTAAACACAAGTGGATCTAAACACAGACTCTTATTTCCCCTACAGTTTACTCATTATTCTTTTTATGTGGGCATCAGTTATAGGGCTTTGAATAGGGCTTTGCACTTGTTAGGCAGGTACTGTACTCCCCACCTGCTTTTTTATCAATCAGGAGCTTGCCTTTTGCTTGGGGTCAGCCTTGGACGGTGATCTTCCTACCTATGCCTCCCAGATAGCTGGGACCAAAGGCATGAACCACCCCTCCTGGCTGGGCTGCCCTCAGACTGCCATCCTCTTGATTGCTGCCTTCTGAGTAGCTTGGATTGCAGGTGTGAGCCATCCCACCCAACCCCAACTTAATCATCTTCTTTTGTTTATGTTTGAACTGGGGTTTGAACTCAGGGCTTCCTGTTTGCTAGGTGCTCTACCATTGATCATTTAAGTGTGGTATGAAGCACATTCACACTGTGGTGTGACTGACACCATCCGTCTTATAACTCCATCCTAAAAAACAGAAACTCAGTCCCAGTTAAACACTAACTTCCTTCCCCTCCCCAGCCCCTGCACCCTTCCTGTCTCTGTGTCTCTGTGACTCTGGGGACCTCCTGTGAGTGGCGTCCTGGTGTGTGTCCTTCTGTGTCTGCTCATTTCACTGAGCACCGTGTCCTCAAGTTCCCTCCACATTGTTGCAGGTGTCAGAATGGCCTTCCTTTTTAAAGACTGAGTAATATTCCATTGTATATACCCAATAGTGAGATTGCTGTATTGAATGGTAATTTTAATTTTTAATTACTTAGGGAGCCACCATACTGTTTACCCACAGGAGCTGCACCATATTGTATTCTCATCAACAGTGCCCCAAACTTCCAATTTCCCCATTCCCTGGCCAATACTTGCTATTTTATACTTTCTTTCTTTCTGATAGCAGCCATCCCAATAGATGTGAGATGGTGCAAGGGAGCCCTTTTTCAAGTTTTGAGACCAGAGTGGGCAAGTTTTTCTATAAAGAGTCAGATAACAAATACAGTGGACCTTGGTATCCGTGGCTCTGTGGTTCCGAGGAGACCATTGAGGAAAACCGATGTGTGCTCAGGTCGTGCAGTGCTTAGTGATGTGCTGCAGATGTGGGATTCATTTTTTCCCACAACATCCCCAACTTCTGCTAAAGACCTGCTGCCTTCCATCAACATCTCATACTTTCACTTGCTCTCTGTTTTTTTTTTTTTTTTTTTTTTTTGCTGTACTGGGGCTTGAACTCAGGGCCTTCACCTTGAGCCACTCCACCAGCCCTTTTTTGTGAAAGATTTTTTTGAGATAGGGTCTCTAGAACTATTTGCCCAGGCTGGCTTTGAATCTCAATTCTCTTCATCTGTGCCTCCTGAGTAGCTGGATTTACAGGCGGGAGCCACCAGCACCTGGCTTGTATTTCCACTCTTGTGCACCTCATGCTTTCCTGTGTAACTCTCGACTTTACCACCGCTGTGCAGAAATTGCCATAAGTGCTTGGTAAATGAGTAGGCTGACTGTGTGTTAGGGAACACGGTTGGTGGACTTGATGTGTGGGTTTTATATAACCTTCTTTCAGGGAAACATTCTTCTTTTGACTTACTTTTGGTGTTTGGAGACAGGGTTTTGCTATATAGCCCAGGGTGTCCTGGAACTCACAAGCCTCTTGTTTCATCCTCCCTAGTGCTGGGATTACAGGCATGCCACCACACCCAGCTCTTCTTAGTTTATTTTTTTGTCATCCACTTAAACATGTAAAATTCACTATTACCTTGAGTGCCAAAGACAGGTGGGAGGGTGACCCCTGATTCTAGAAGGGAAGTCTCCCCTCATGAATCTAGGATATGTTCCCTCATGAGTAGCACAGAGCCTGCACACAGCTAGGGGAGTGGATGAAAGCAGGCCACTTCCCTGACTGTGGGTCTCTGCTTCTGTTTGTAGGGCCCACCTCAGGACTTGTCTGTGCATCTCTGGTGAGTAGAATCACATTCTTATTTATTTATTTGTTCATTCATTTAATTTCTGAGGCCAGCTCTTTCGATGTAACTCAGGCTGGCCTGGAACTCTCATTCCTCCTGCCTCAGCCTCCTGAGTGCTGGGATTACAGGTGTGTTCCACCACGTTCAGCTTCTTTCCTTATTTTCAACTAGGGGTTTCTGGGGTGGAGGCCCAGGCTGGGCATGGGAGGGGCCTGCAGATCAACACTTAACTTATTCTTTGAGTCCAGCCTTAGGCTCAGGGATGCTGGGGGTGGGGCAGGAAAAGGAAGGTCCCTGCCTTTGGGAGACTATGATCGTGTCTGAAGGAACTGATGACGATGACGATGACAACAGTGATGGTGGTGGTAATTTTCTTTGTTAAAAATTGAATGCTGAACAGCTGGGGGTAGACTTCACAGTGTGACTTCTGGAGCTTGCTAACCTGGGTTTGAATCCTGACTCTAATGCCACCCAGCTGTGTGACCTTGGCCAGTTACCTAACCCCTCTGTGCTTCAGTTTTCCTGCCTGGAAAATACTGTGATAACAGTACCTATGTCATAGTGGTGCTGGGAGGTTTAAAGGAGCCTGTTAACTGCTTAGTCTGGGCCTGGCAAACTGTGAGTGCTTTATACAGCATCAGCTGCTATGAATACAATGGTACAACGTTGTCCATTCTGAGACAAGCATCCACCCCCTGCCCCCCGCCACCAATTTTAGCATCTCTGAGTTTGGCGTGGTTCTTGCAGCCAGCAGAACCCAATCTTCTGCCTAGCCCTGTGGGCTCTAATTTCTCTTTTATAATGGCATAGAAGAGGTGGGGCCTTTTACAAGCATCTCACTTTAGGCTAGTGTCACTTTTATAACCTCCTGTTGGTACTGTCGTGAGCTCATTTACTTTCATAGCAATCCCATAAAGTGAAATAGATGCTGCTCTTATTCCCTATCTGCCAAGGAGGAGTCTTTTTTGACACAGGAAACTCAGAGAGGGGAAGGAATTTAGGCAATGTCACATAGTAAGGAAGTGATGAAAGCAGAATTCAAACCCAGGACTGTCCAAGTGTGTCTCTGATAGTCCTTGCACAGCAACCATTTATCCCACACAGTCCTCTGAGTGCTTCAAGTGCATTATTACTATTTACCAAAAATGTCCTTTTCAGAAGAGGGAATTGGGCCTCCGAGTGGCAAAATCAGTTCCTGAGTCTTAGAGCAAGAGAGTGGCAGAGCCAGGATTCGAACTGGTGGACTCTCGAGGCCGGGCAGGGTGTGGGCAGCGGGTGGTGACTATGGTGAGGCAAGTGGTGCTAAAAAAAACTCGGTGATCAGGACACGTCTTAATGCAATGTTAAAAAAAGAAGTCGTTCTAATAAACATTGCTGTCATTTTCACTGCAAAAAACAAGCCCCCTATCCTCAATGAGCAAAATGTGAAAAGTGAAAATAAAGACAAGAGAATGGGGATCAGCCCCGAGGAACCAGCCGTCCTGAAATGTCTTTTGCTCACCATAGTTTTCTCCTAGTCATTGCTGTGAAAGAATTGAGACGAATTTCACCTAACATAAAATCAAATGGTTCGTGGCTGTTCTGTTTCCATTTGCATGTTTCACTGTTTGCATTATGCTACACACTGCACACAGTTACATAAGTCAGTGTTACTGACAGTGTGTAGCTAAGTTTGTATCACGTTGTTACTGTGATCATACACACTTCCACTCATCACGTTACTTATTCTGTAATGTTTACCGTATGTGTTGCTTGCTTACCTGTGTATCATTCAGCACATGTTACACGATATGCCATGGTGCATTTGCAGTGCACACTCACACTCACATTGCATCATGCCACGCACTCAGTATTTGCTACCTGTGCTGCATGTCTCACTTACATGACCTTATGACATAGGACACTGTAACACATATCGTACTCCATTTACAGTATCTTAGTGCTGTGTCATATGTTACGTAAGCTTACACAGTTATACGTTACGTAATGATATATGTGATCACCATTTATTTACATTGAGCATTTACAGCATATTGTATATTGTATATTTATGTTACACAGGATATGTAATAGTATGTATACCACATATGTGCTACACTGTATGCAATTTATGCATAGTTATATAACATGACTATTACAGTTATAATACATATAATTACAAATAAACACATATAATCATAGATTACATATAAAATGTACATATGAGTATAAAATACATTCATACATAATATAGTATATAAATTAGAAATACAGTATATAATATAAAATGTGTACCATATAAAATATTAAACATACCATGTATATATCATAAAAATAAATGTATACTATATTATACAATGTGATATAAAATACAGTGTATTATATATTTTATATGGAAATGTATATTACATTTGCATCAGAAATATATTTATATCCAGTGCTGGTATATTCACAGTGGTGTGTAACCATCACCTCTATCAAGTTCCAGAATGTTCCACCACCCCAAAAGGAAGCCTTGTCCCATGAGCAGTCACCTTGTCCCTTCCCCAGCCCCTGGACCCCAGGAGTCCACTTCCTGTCTGCGGCTTCTCCTGTTCTGGACGTTTCCTATTGATGGAGCCATGCTGTGGGGCCCCGTGTGTCTGCTTCTCCCACTGAGCACTGTGTCCTCAACGTCCCTCCATGTTGTGGTGTGGGTCAGAGCCTCCTTTCTTTTTGTGACTGATTTTTCACTTATTTCACTTTAAAAAATACTGCATTAGATACTATTTTATTTATTACTCGCTTACCTTGATGATGGGAACTTTGGCTTCCTCGTAAATTTTGCACCCAGAGGAATTCTTCACTCTTCTCACCCTGCTTCTGGTGACCCCAGAGCAGGACATCCAGTGGGTACGTGCAGTGGGCATTAGTGAAATGCCCATCAAAGTCATGGCCAAATTCAACACACCCAGCTGGACCCAAGGGATTGAGTGGATCCTGACCTCCATGTGCCATCCTTGGGTGTGACTTACAGACGCCTGGTGGCCCCTGCCCTCCTCTGCACTCTCCCCACTTGCCTGCATGGGCTTCCTCTGCTGGTTGAGGGCTGTTCGAACCAGGTTGTCACCCAGTTAAACAGTCATGGTGGTGGTGAGGGGGAGAAGCCGTCTCCACATGACAGGGTAGTGGCCTTGTGGACCTCTCTCCAGCTGTGTCTTTGCAGGTATGCGGGCCCCATGGAGCGGGCGGGCGCCGAGAGCATCCTCACCAGCCGCTCCGACGGAACTTACCTGGTGCGGCAGAGGGTGAAGGACACAGCTGAATTCGCCATCAGCATTAAGTAAGTAACTCCCCCCCACCCCCTGCCCAAACCAACCCACATCTCCTTTAGACATGGGCCTTGCAGGCTCCTGGGAAGGACGTCTAGGTTTACTTTATAAGTGTACAGGAATGACAGGCACCTTTTATTTAATGTGTTCTGGGTTCTGGGCTTTGATTCTCCTTCTTTCTTTTGCTTTTTTTTTTTGGTGCTGGGGACCGAACTCAGGGCCTTGCGCTTGCCAGGCAAGCGCTCTTCCACCGAGCTAAATCCCCAACCCCTCCTCTTTCTTTTAATTGACTGACAACACAAAGAAAGAGATAAGATTCCTGTGGAGATTCAAAAACCTGTTAGCAATTAGCTTATATTGTAAGCAGCAGTCATCTGCTGTGCCTGGGATACTAGCAGGTCCTTGTCCTACCTAACTGCATTTTGAAGCCTGTTATCTTCTGTCTATCCCCCTTCAGATCCCCCTCTTAATCTCTGGTAGCCACAATTCTATACTATTCTTCAAGGTCTGCATGTAATTAAGAACATGTGGCATTTGTCTTTGTGTGCCTGGCTTATTTCACTTTAACTTAATGTCCTCCAGTTCCATCTATGCTGTTGCAAGTGACAGGATAGCATCCTTTTTAGGGCTGAATAATACTCCATTGTGTGTATATGCCACATTTTTCAATCCACTCATCTGTCACAGGCACCTTGATGATTCCATATCTTGTCTGTTGTGAATAGTGCTGCAGTTAACATGAGGGTGCAGGTGCCTCTTGGATGTGCTGATTTCATCTTTTTTGGATGCATCCCCAGGAGTGGAATAGCTGGATCACAAAGTAGATCTATTTTTAGTCTTTTAAGCAATCTTTACACTGGTCTCCATACTGGCTGCACTAATTTACATTCCACTGTTGTCCTGTGATCTTTTTTCTTTTTCTTTTGCTGTGCTGGGGATGGAACCCAGGGTCTTGTGTGCTGGGCAAGTGCTCACCGCTGAGCTACATCCCAGGCTTTCTGTTGTGACCTTAAGTCAGGCTTTACCTTTGCGAATGTGAAGTTACTTGTGTCTTCAGAGATTTAGTATTTGTTTCTGTTAGCATCACCCATGGATTAATGTTTAGGTTAAAATTTGAAAGATTAATTTCTTAGTTTTCTAGTGTATTTGTCTGATTTTAATACAAACTCCATATGTGTGTGAGGGCTTGCCCAAGCTGTTGAGTTATCAAGAGAGAGGTTTTTCTCCACTTTAGGTCTGGGACAGATAAGCTTTGGGTAGTTTCTCTAGCCTACCCCTTTTCCTGAAGGTGTAGCTCTTTGGACAGTCTGGTCTCATGGAGTACAGCAGGGCTCAGGGACAACTTTCCTCCCCCAGGTCCAGCATCTCATTTTATGTTGCCACATAGTCGTCAGGACTTGGGTAAGCTTCTTGGTGGTCAAGATCAGCAAACCTGTTAGGTCAGCTCTACCATGAGGTCATGCTTATTGCTCATTGTTCAGTTTCATCTTTCTTTTTGACTTGTGTGGATTTCCTTACTTTTCTGAGAGTTCAGCATTTTTCTTTAGTGTTTCTAGAGGCGGTATTCTTGGTTCTCTAGATTGCTATATTGGTAGAAGCAGATGTTGCTTGCAGTCTGTGGTCTGCCATATTGGTAGAAGAGGATGTCTTCCATGTTTCCTATTCTGTGGTTCACCATTACTGGCAGAAATGGTTCTCTCCTTCCATATCCTTTATGTCCTGTGGTCTTCCATATTGTAGAAGTAGTGTCTTTTCCTATCTAAGAACATTGCATTCTTTATTAGGCCTTTTTGACTTCTCAACAAGCCCGTGAGTCCAGGAAGATGATCCCTCATCTATGAGAGGAAGAATTGTTGGCTTAGAGCAGCACAGGCCCCAGGGAAGGGATTCCTCTGACAGCTTCAGTCTTTGGGCTCCAGGCAGGGGTGGCCCTTCCCTGAAGGAGCCAAGACTGCTTCTCCCACGGTTGGAGACTGTAGGCTGGGCTTGGCAGTGGATGGGCCTGGTCCTCCTACTCAGGGTCCTCTCTCTCCTTGGATCCAGGTATAATGTCGAGGTCAAGCATATTAAGATCATGACATCAGAGGGACTGTACCGGATCACAGAAAAGAAGGCTTTCCGGGGGCTTCTGGTAAGGGCTGATGTTTCCCTAACCCAAACCTCTCAGGACCTAGTCAGCACCCTTCCTGCACTTCCATCTTGGGACCCCCATTTTCCACATTCAGAGTGGCTTTTCCACTGGCACTATGGAACAGTTGACTTAAACTTACTCTCTAAATGAGCTATGCAAGTGATAATAAATATTGAGTGACTGTATCAAGCACTTACAGAGTACTTGTTAATATCAAACATGTTATAGATAGGATTCCAGTCCAGGCTCCCATTTCACAGATGGGTGAAACTGAGGTTTAGTCTTAACCAGTTTCACAGAACAGCAGAACCCATATCCTGCCAGACTTCCAAATTGATCTGTGCCGAGTCTGCCAAGAGACCTTGCACTTGGCTGAGAATTCATTTTGAGTATTTTGCTTCTGTTTGGTGCCCTGTAAGTTGTGCTCTATTTTTACGCATTTTAAACCTATTAGTCTAAGGCACATGGATCTTACCGTGGTCCATGGATCATCTGAAAGTAGAATCAAAATTATGTACCTGTGTTTTTAGAAGGGGGATATTTTAGATATGACTTGGTCCTCCACTGTATCCCTGACTCCCCAAAAGGTTAATTTACTGCACAAATCTTTTTTGTCATATTTACTTTTAATTCTGAAACATTTTCTGAAATCTTACTCCCCAAAAATCTCACAAAAGGCACTGGAACAGTGTTACATCTATGAACCTTTCATGCAAATTTACTAATTATTTACATCTGCTTCTTTTGCTTGTGTTCTCACTCTCTCTTTCTCTGTGTCTCTCTCTGTGTCTCTCTCTCCCTCCCTCTCTCTGTCTCTCTCTTACACACACACACACACACACACACACACATAGTTACTCTGCACTTTTGAAGAATAAGTTGCAGTCAGGATTCTTTACCCATAATGATGCTGGCACCACCGTGTGCCAGCACCGTGTGACAATGATGTCACATAGCACTGAGGCAAAGTTATGGTCTGACACACAGTTCATTTTCATATTCCAAAGTCCCCAATCACCTCAAGTACATTTTAAAGCTGTTTTCCCCCAGAATCAAATCAGACACCACACACTGTGTTTAGTTTTTATCTCCTTAATCTTTCATTTGCAATAGTTCCACAGTCTGGTTTCTATTTTTTTCATCTTTCATGAGATTGGCATTTTTTGAGTCTAGAACTCCAAAATACAGAGCATTTTGTTTTTGTGGATGTTTTTAAATTTTGACTTGCCTGATTGTCTCCTCATTCTTAGAATCTCCACATTTGTGGAAGAAATATTCGTAAGTGCAAGAAATGTGGTACTCGAATTCAGGTCTAAGGTGTGCTTAGCTATTTCCCCTGCGGTTGAATCCGTGATCCTCTCTGTCCAGCTGTGGGACCCTGGACAAAGAACTTGGCTTCTCTGTGACTCAGTTTCTCTGTTTATAAAATGAGAGAATCATGGACAAATCGGGATTCTAGGAGATCGTGATGATACACAGTACGCATGCTGGCCAGGCTACAGGTGCTTAAATAAAAGCTGCTATGCTCATTCTTAATTGTGAAGGTAAGGCCCTGACACCTACAGGAGGCCTTGCATTTGGCGAGCTGATTATGTAGTGAATTTACTGTAAAGTGATTAGTTGGTTATCAGGAAGAGTGGTCTCAGGCCATGCTGTCTCTTCCCCATAACATGATCTCAGCTGTCCAGACATGGAAGGAGCCACCCATCACAGGGAGCATTCAAGGACTCGCTTGCTAAGGAGTCTGGAGCGGGGAGCCCGCTCTGCCTTCTTGAGGGCTGGCCAGCTGTCCTGCTGTTTCCCTTCCAGGAGCTGGTGGAGTTTTACCAACAGAATTCCCTAAAGGATTGCTTCAAGTCACTGGACACCACCTTGCAGTTCCCCTACAAGGAACCTGAGAGGAGAGCCATCAGCAAGCCTCCAGGTAAGAGGTCTCAGGTGGGGGGGCTGCAGCCCTAGCTGCACACAGTGAGGGGATGAGGGATGCCATGGGTTTTCCTTCCATGGGCATGAGGTGGTCACATCTGTGACAGCCCTCTGTCTATTCCTGCCCGCTTGAGGGGTTTGCATATTCCTTTGTTTGACTGGAAGATGGGGTGGAAATAAGTTTTCCATTTGGGAAAATGAGGGTATGAGGAACCAGAGGTGGCTCCATCTGCACCTCTCAAACCTGTATTTTTGTAGGAATGTCAAGGATGAATTAGCATCTGTCCCTGTTTTCTGCCATAATACACAGTTTCTAGTGCCCTTTACCTCCTTCTCCCTTGCAGCTCTCACTCACCAGGTGTTCAAATTATCTGGACTTATTGGATACGGTTTTCTGTGCATTAAAACAGTGAGATATCTACTTTAGGAATTCCTCTCTCCCTCCCTTCCTTCCTTCCTCCTTTCTTTGTACTAGGGCTTAAACTCTAGACACTCAAACCTGCTAGGCAGGCACTCTACTGCTTGAGCCACACCTTCAGTCCTTCTTTCTTTTTGAATTTAATTTATTTTTTGGTGGTATTGGGGTTTGAACTCAGAGCTTGGCTCTTGCAAAGCAGGTGTTCTACTGCTTGAGGCACACTTTCAACCCAGGAGGCTTTTCTTAAGTATTGCATTTAGCTCCACAAATACAATATCAGAAATTGTTTAGATTCCATCTGTATTTGTTTTTCATGTTTTCTTTATTACAAAGTTTTATGCTGATTTATATTTCATTTTGTTGGAGTGCATTCTGTGGTTTATTTTTCAGCAAGACACATGGGTAGGAATAATTCTTTTTTGTCCAAACCTTTTTAAGGGAGGGAGATGAAATTATTTTTAAAATGTTGTATTCTTTTTTTTAAAAAAAAAGCAGTATCAGTGTAATACCAGTATTTCCCCTATGTTCATCAAATAAATGTTTCTGTCTGCATGTTACTTACTTGTCCAGGATATACCAGGATATATGGATAAGTACAGGAATAAATAAATAAATAAATAAATAAATATTTATATGGATGTTCAACCTTAGAAATACTACAAGTTAATTTTGTAATCTGAAGTTTCACTTAATAGCACCGTCCCTCTCCCCTCTTTATCTTCCTGTACTCTGTCTTTTTGATCCTGGCTTTCCCTTAAGATAATTAACATTAGCAGCCTAGAGTGAAGCTTTCATGCTTTTCTTCCTGCTCTTCTTCCTATAAGTACAGTCTTGGTACCTGTGGGGAATTGGTTACAGGAATCCCAGGGGATATAAAAATGTACAGATGTTCAGGTCCCTTTGCAAAATGAGATAATACTTTCATCAAACTTACAAATACCTTCTCCTATGCTTTGAATCATCTCCAGATGACTTATAATATCTAATGCAGTGTGAACAGTTATTATAAAAAAGTCTGCATGTTCACTATGCCTGCAGCTTCTTTTCTGGAATATTTTTGGTCTGTAGTTGATTGAGACTGCAGAGGCAGGAGGGATGAATATATATGAAAACTATTTCATAAAACAGTTTCAAAAATGGTCTTGCCCAGTGTGGTGGTGCATACCTACAATCCCAGCACTCAAGAGGCTGAGGCAGGAGGACTGTGAGTTTCAGACCAGACTGGGATACTTAGCAAGACTCTGTCTCAAGCAAACAAATAAGAAATCAAAAACAAAAATAAAAAATGGCTGGGCGTCAGTGGCTCACGCCTGTAATCCTAGCTACTCACGAAGAAGAGATCAGGAGGATCATGGTTCAAAGCTAGCCTGGGCAAATAGTTTGGGAGACCCCTATCTTGAAAAAACCCATTACAAAAGGGCTGGTGGAATGTGAAAGTGTAGGTCCTGAGTTTAAACCCCAGTATTGCAAAAAAAAAAATTGCATGCAGCTCAGTCTGGAAGGGTGGTACTGGGCAAAGCTGTTTCCCCTCAGAGTAGAGGCCACCCGGTAATTGCATAGGAGCTGCACTCCTGACAGCCCCTCCCCTCTCCCCACTGCACCCAGACTGGGGATGGGTGTCTGTCTGTGCCAGACCCTTATCTGCCCCTTTCCTCTCTCCACAGCTGGAAGCACCAAGTATTTTGGCACAGCCAAAGCCCGCTATGACTTCTGCGCCCGGGACCGATCGGAGCTGTCCCTTAAGGAGGGTGACATCATCAAGATTCTTAACAAGAAGGGGCAGCAGGGCTGGTGGCGAGGGGAGATCTATGGCCGGGTGAGGCAGGCGGGGTGGGCAGCTGGGCGAGGGTTCGGGGGTGACTTGGGGTGTGCTGGGACTGCTCTGGGATTCTGGAATGGAGAAGGGGAGTGTAGCTCATGTGGAGGTCTTTACTGATTAGACTGGAGCAAGGGACACAGAGATTTGATTCATTTATTTAACCTAGACTTATTTCTTGAGTACCTACTATGTGCTGGATATTCTGCTAGGTGATGAGGAGATGAAAATGTGCATGTACGTTATCTTTGTGAAAATCATAGTCTAGTAAGGAGGATGTAACCACGGCCTGTGGACCTGTCACCAAACAGTGGCACCACCGCGTGGTCCAGATGGAGATGGGTGTAAGAGTCCTCAGGGAGCCCTGAGTTGCCCTAGGAGCAGGTTGGGATGACTTCTGAGAGGTCAAGCTGATGGGTGAGGAATAAATAAAGTGACTTAAATAAAGAGTCATCAATAGGGTTGGGGAAAGTGTGGCAGGAACTTCCGCCCACCCCCAGCATATGCAAAGGCCCTGTGGTAAGACAGTGATTGGCACATTTGGGGGACACAAAGGTAGGGATTTGTGTCTGTCTTGTTCACAGCAGAGCACCAGTGCTTGGAACAGTGCCTGGCACACATTAAGTGCTCAGTAAACATTGATTTTAGGAAGAGGCACACATAGGGGAAGTTACTGTACTCTTTTGCTCAAATTCAGACTGAGCAGCAGGATGGATCTCAGGCTCATCGAATGGGCTTTTGTCTGCTTACTTCCTATTTTTGTTCTACACAGGGACAAATTCATCCAGTGATGAATTCCCAACTTCTAGAATCCTTCCTTGCTTGAATGGTTTCTCAAAGTATTGTTAAGTGAAGACAGGACACCGGCTAGAGCTTGTATTCTACCAGGGGAACTGTGTGAAAAACAAAACTGGTTCCATAGTTGCTTGGATGAACGAATTTGATCAGCACATGGGAGGGTGAAATTAGTGAGCAATGGAGGACAATTAGGGTGTGAAAGAGCCCTCTGGACTGTTTAGGAAGGTGGGAGTGCAGGATTCATCCATGCATCCATCTACAAGTCATCCATACTTCCATGCATCCAACCATCCCCATTTATGCCTGTCCATCCATGCATGTTAACCCATCCATCCATCCTTCCTTCTTTCCTTCCATCCATCCATCATCCATTTCCATCTATGTTTGCATCTGTTCATCCATTTCTATCTGTGCATCCGTCTATCTGTACATCTGTCCATCCATCCATCCACCCATCCATCCATCTATCCATCCACCTGTCCATCCATCCATCCATCCATCCATCCACCCAACAAGTGTTTAGTAAGTACCTACTGTATAGTGGGAACTGTTCTAGGCTCTTGGAATTCATGGCAAGAAAGGCAGACAAAAATCCCTGCCCTCTTCAAGCTGATGTAGTGGGAGGGAGGGTGTCAAACATCAAGCTTAGAAATAGTAATATGTCTAATCCATGAAAAGGCAAATAAGTGCTACGAAGAAAAGTAAAGCAGGAAATGAGGATAAGGAGTGTTGGGGTGGGTAGTGTTTTCAATTTAAAATAGGGAAGGATTTGCTGACAAATAGCAAGTGATCAGAGGCAGAAACTTTTAGAAGGTGGAGTGAGGCTGGGGGAAGAGCTCAGTGGTAGAGCACTTGCCTAGTGTACATGAGGCCCTGGGCTCCATTCCCAGCATTGAGAAGTGTTGCAGTCAACAAAAAGGAAACTCTCATTAAAGAGTTTAGGTGATACATTTTCTGGGTAGAAGGAATGGCAGGTGCAAAGGCCCTGAGGCAGGAGGGAGCCTTCCTGGTGCTCTGAGGAGCGGGAGCAGAATATATAGAGACTGCACTGATGAATTCATCTTCTCTTTCCAGGTTGGTTGGTTCCCTTCCAACTATGTGGAGGAAGATTATTCTGAATACTGCTGAGCCCCAGCACACTGGCAGACAGAGGACAAACTGCAGGCTCTGAGCCCGGGATATCAGGCAGCAGGGCCAGGGGCCGAGACAGGTCCCAGTGAGTGGATAGTTTGGATGGACTGCAGAGGGCTAGAGTCCAGCTGGCAGAGGGCCCAGGATGATACTCTGCTCTGGTTAATTTATAACTCACTGATTGCCTCTTGGGATGTCTGGAAAGGCGGGCCTAGAGGCAACAGCTTTTAATAAAATGATGAATGCAGGGACTGGTGTATTGAGGACCCAAAAGGGGAAAGTTGGGGGAAGGCGTGCTGTGCACAGACACAAGTCCACCCACCAACCTCTCCCTCCCAGCGTGGATGGCTTTCCCTGTCATTGACAGTATGATTTGAAGGGGGGTTTGTAGGATACAATTCTCGTGTAGCAGGAATGACTGTTACAGTCACAGGGTCACAAAAATGCACCATTCATTTGCTTTTTCTTTCATAGAACTGAATTACTACTTCCAGCCTCCTCCTCCCCAATTCTGCTGGGTAGAAAATGAGTATCAGTGAGTTCTCCACAAGATCATGGGAGAAGGAAGGAATCAATCCAGGGAATGTCATGAGCAACAGTGTAGAACATGCCTCGGAGAAGAAGGGGAGGGAGCTGGGGTATTTATACACCAGCCTCCACACAGGAGGCTGAAACTGATCCAGTGGCCAGAGAATTACAGGGAACTTGGAGACCATCAATCTGCACAGACATTGTAGGTGCTGGGGGTGGGGACATGGACAAGATCTGATACACTCCTCTTTAATAGAGGAAATTCACACACCACTCCTGCGGGCGTCCCCATCAGTGGAGGCCGCCATATGCAAACTGTGTCAGACCTATGCAGAGCTTGCTAGATCTTGGGGCTCTGGAAGGGTGTCGAGAACTCTCTTTCCTTCTAACATCCTGTCTAGGTTGTGGGTTGACTTCTATGGTACAGAGATGGATCTCTGGACCACCTCTGAGTGTAAATATTCTCTCCTGTCCAATGGTTCTTCTCTCTATTAGAGAACCCTGCTTAGTTTTGTTGCAAGAAAAGCTGACTCTGACCATTTTCTTCCACATATATTATTTATGGCCAGACTTCTTTTCTTTTCTTTTTTTTTTGAGTAGGCTTTCTGAAAAATCATGATAAAATACACAAAACATACACTTTTCCATCTTCACTATTTTGTCTCAGCAGCGTTAAGTATCTTCACAGTGTCATGTGACCAACTCCACCATCTATCTCAATAACTTTCTTCATTGTGGAAAACTCTCTCCCCTCTTTTTTCCCCCTGCTCTTGACAACTGCTGTCCCTTGGCCAAAATTTTATCTGCAGTTCTTTAGGGCTTGAATTTTTTATGCTCATTAAGTCAAGAGTCAGAATCTCTAAATAGACTTTTGAAGTTTGAAAGCCAGGATGTTGCTTTTTTGGTAAATCTCTTTCAAGAGTTTGGAATAACCCTTACCAAGCAAAAAAGATTATGTGAACAGCCATGGACTGTAAGTTAATTTGGAGAAAAATTGTAAATACTTCCAAATAATTAGGAAGAAAGCCCACCATATTGAACATTAACCTTGCCAGGTGCCATGATGGCAAAATCTTTGTACTCAACTATTCAACCAACTTTGTGGTCACTAAAACATCTAAGACTCCAGGAAGATGTGAAGGTCATCCCTGCCCCTGTGAAATTATCTGTAAAGATTTGAGAATCACCACACCTCTTGGAATCAGAGAAAGATGAATTCGCTTGTCCAAGGGCACAGAGTTGAGATGTGTCCACTCTCTTCACCATCACTCTAGTGGCTGGTGGGGACCTTGGCACATCTTTCTCCCTGATTCCAGGGGAGCAATGCTTACATAGCACCTGTGCATACCTGGCCAGGTGTAGGTTATGACATAGGAGCCTGGTGTGAAGTGTTTTCCAGGTTTGAGGAGCCACAAAGCTGGAGTAATGAGATCAAGGACTATGGTGGAGGTGGGGCTTCTGTTCTTCCTCATGATTCTTCCATGGGAAGAAGGACTTGGGTCATGTGGTGTTGGTAACATTGAGGTCCTGAACTTGTTTTTCTTGTTTCCGAGTGTCAAGGTCCTTGAGCCCCAGGCTGAACCCTGACACCAGTCATGTGCAAGCTCTCACCTGGTTTTTGGCAGGCATTTTAGGCCTTGGCTTAGCAGAAGCTTTTATCGGTCACCTTAAGCTAAGTTTTGCTGCCTTAACAAAGGAACCCACACCTCAGCAATGCCTTCGTGCATGGGCTTCAACTGTGCAGTAAAGAAGTTTCTGGAAGGAGGAGGCTTTGAAGCAGTTACATACTGGGTTCATGGGAGAAGGACAAGAAAGAGATGGATGACCACCCAACAGCTATTAACATTTCAGCTTGAGAGCAACACACTCCACTTCCTCCCACATTTCATTGGCAAAGCAAGTCCCATTACAGAAGCAACTTTAGTAGGGCAAGAAAGTCTAACTATCATGTGGGGAGAGGTGACAAATATTTGGAGCAATGGCAGAGTCTACCAGACAGCTGTTGTCATTTGTTCATTGATATTTCCTTGATTGGTGACTAATGGTTAATGATGCCAACTATTATGGGCTAAATCCAGCACCCTCCAGAGTCCCCCCCAGAATCCAGTCCCCCCAGAATCCAGCCTGCCAGAATCCAACCCCTCCCAGAATCCAGCCCTCCCAGAATCCAGCCCTCCAGAATCCAGCCCCCCAGAATCCAGCACCCCAGAATGCACACATTGAAGTCCTGACTCCAGCATCCCAGAATGTGAGTGCTCTTTAAAGAGGGGACTAAGGTAAAATGAGGCCATAGGGCTGGCCCTAATCCAGTATGACTGGAGTCCTTAGAAGAAGAGGAGATGAGGACATAGACATACAGAGGACTTACTGTGTGAAGGCATAGGGAGAAGACGCTGTCCATGAGCCAAGGTGAGTAGAAACCAGCCCTGCCACATCTTCATGTTGAACTTCCAGCCTACAGAGCTGTGGGGCAGTAGTTATTTTGTTTGAGACAGGCTGGAACTTGTGATCTTCCTGCCTTGGTCTCTCGAGTGCTGGAATTACAGGTGTGCACCACCACACCTGGCAAGGGACGATACATTTCCATGGTCTGTGGTGTTTTGTTATAGCACACCTAGAGAAAACTCACATACCGCTTTTTGTTACATGAGTCAGGCATCCTGATGGCTAAGTGTGGATGATTGAACTGGGTCTCCAACCATGAACCATGCAATTGTGACATGCGGTGAAGAGTTTCATCTAAGGGAAAACAGGAGGCTGAGGAGCAGACACAGAGTCGGGTTGGGGAGGATGGCCAGGGGAAGGCTTCCCAGAGGGGGCCATATCTAAGGAGGCACCTGAATGATGAGCTAGATGGATTTACCTAGAAAAATGGGGCAGATGTAAGCCAGAGGAGAACCTGGTAGGTCTTGGGAGCCTCAAGGGACCCATTTTGCTTGGAGAGGAGGGAGTGGGCAGGGCCAGAGAAGTTGTGGGGAGTTGGGACAATTTTCTATAGAGCCTGACCCAGGATCTCTCTTCTGCCGTGTCCTTCAGAGAGATCAGGAAGAGCTGGCACGTGCGCACGTGTGTGTGTGTGTGTGTGTGTGTGTGTGTGTGTGTGTGTGATACCTTGCTGAGGGATGGTACTTCTCACTGGCCTGGTAGAGGGGATGCAGGGGCTCAGGTGTGTCCTGGGCTGCTGAGAGTTGAGGAGTTGGATTTCAGGAAATGGTACCTCATATGTTGGCACAGAGAGGTTCAAAGATCACACAGTGGCCTCCCAACCAGGAAGTCCTCTGGAGCTGGCTGTCAGTTACTTCTGGCTGCCTGAGGGTGTGCCTATCCATGCACACACGCACACACACTTGCACAAATGTGCGTGCAACCTATGTGCACAAGCATACATTGTACATGTGTGTGTGTGCACATGCATACACATATGTGCACACAATATTAGTTTGCCAGGGCTGCTCTGAACAACGACCACACTGAAACGGCTGAGCCAACAACATTTATTGTCTCACAATTTGGGGTGACCAGTCCAAAATCAGGGTATCAACAGGGCCGGCTCCCACTAAGCGTCCTAGGGGATGACTGGTCTTTGCCAGTTCCAGTTTCTGGTGGTGGCCAACAACACCTGGTGTCCCTTGGGACATTGAAGCGTGACTCTGGTCTCTGCCTCTGCCTCCACACTGCCTTCTCTAGGTATCCAAATAGCCTACAAAAACGTGTCTTTGGATTTGGGACCTCAATTCAGGGCATTTTCATCTCGAGATCCTTGCACCCTGTCTGTGTTTCCAGATAAGGTCGCATGCTGAGGTGGTGGAGTTACAGTGGTTTTTGGTGGAGCATATGCAATTTAGCTCATAACACACACACACACACACACACACACACACACAGCGTATAAAAGTCCCTAATAAGAGTATCTACGCATGCAACAGGTCAAAACAGGACAGAGGTGGCCATAAAAAACTACAGCCTCAAAGACACATGAACAGGAGCACACGGTAAAAAGTGACTCAGATATAAAGGCCCTCCTCACCACACCCCACACATCTGGCCAGATGCACAGGTGGGCATAGACCCAGATAGGCAAAAAACACCCACGTGTAACAGGCAAACACAGCAGATAGAAATATAGCAACCCACAGTACAAAACTACCACCGGCATTACAGCAGAGCCCAGAGCCCGGTACTTCCCCCTCCCCAAACCATCAAGGACATATTAAATAGATGAATAGAAACACACGGATGCAAAAATAGCATTCCACAGGCAATTGCAAACTTGGTGTGGTGGCTCATGCCTGTATCCCAGCTACATGGGAGTCATACATAGGTTTGTGGTCCAGGCCAACCTGGCAGAAACACGACACCCTATGTGAAAAGTAACTAAAGCAAAGAGGACTGGGATATGGCTAAGTGGTAGAGTGACTGCCTAGCAAGGGCAAGGCCTTGAGTTCAAGCCCCAGTACTGCAAAACAAGCAAGCAAGTACAAGTGTGTATGCACACACAGACACACGTGTACACATAAAGTTGGCTTATATAGACATGGAGTCACATATGTACTCAGCTCCCCTCCCCCAACTTGTGATGCTGCTTAATATTACTTGTGATGCTGCTTAATTGCACAGTAGATGCGTCTTTCATAGACACACACACCCTCAAAGGACTCATTCCTACGGCCTGCTCTAGAAATTTACAAACACTGAAGACACTGAAGTCATTACAGACAGACTTCAAATACAGGCAACAGAGACATTTATAAATATCACCAAGATCACACAGGCAGATGGACCCAGCGCACACGACCTCAAATGAAAGCCATGATTTCCCCCTGGTGGACAGTCGCAGTAGTGTTCCAACCTCAGCAGCTCAGGGATCCCTGCTTGGGGAAAGGAAAGGAAGGCAGGGAAAAGATGTGCTCGCGTGCACGTGTATGTGTGTATATGTACGTGCATGTGCATGCGTGTATGTGTGTGTGTGTGTGCATGTGTACATGCACGTGTATTTGTGTGAATGTGGGTATGTGTGTGCACGCGTACGTGACATGTGTGCACATACATGCATGTGTGCACGTGTGCCTCGGCGTACGCATATGCATATGTGTGCACGCATGCACATGTACGCGTGCATGTATGTGTATGCACGCGTGCACATGTGTGTACGTGTG